GGGGAAGCCTCCCACTTCCCCTCCTACTACCAGGAGGAGGCGGGCTATTGAGAAGGGCGGGTGCCCGTGCGGGTTTTGGGGGGAGTTTGTGTTTTTCTTCCTGTTTTCTGTATGTTGGAGTGTTGCCACAGTCAAGGGTGGCATCAAACACATCTTCTTGCTGTTGAAAATAAATGCAGGACAAGGCAGTCAAGTTCGACCACATCTCCACGCACACTTCAGGGGCGTTGACAACATTCTTGGAATTGTGTCATCATTCCCACCCTCCTTTCCCCAAGGCTCTTCTCCCCGTCAGCATGCATGCACTGCACTCCCGACCCGGTCTCTCCCAGAGCTGGTCTTAGCCTGATCCCAGGGAGAGTCTCCCTTGAGGTGCACCCGGCTCAGGGCAAACATCCTTCGCTAAACAAAACTGTTCAGGACAGAGGGCAGTCACCCTGAGCTACCACTCGGGGAGCGAGGGGGGTGGAGACAGCACAGGCCAAGGTCCTGGAGAGGCTCCGGGGCTCCCCCAAGGGACTGTGTGGCTGCCAGCATCCCTTCTGATGCGCCCACAGAATTGGCGGCAGGTGTTCACAGCCGCCTGGAGAGGGTAGAACCCCGGGTCCGCCTCCGGTGATGGACACTGTTTCACACACACGAGAGAGCAGCCTCCGCTCCAGAGAGGACTGCGCTCTGACTCGGGCAGCCCACGGCCAGGGGAGCCAGCCTTGCCTGGCCCCATGCAGGTGCCGTGCCAGGGTTGCCTTTGGGGCAATGAAAGGGACCTGGCCTGAGAGGGACGGAGGTGCAACGTAGGGACGTGCTGTGTCTCCGATCCTATCCTGTCAGGGCTCAGAGCTCACTGCCCAGGGGCTATAGGCTCCCAGTCCATCAGCAGGGGTCGGTGTGCCCAGTGCACGGGGAGGCAGGACCCTGCGAGCAGGCGCCCTTGGGAGTGAGTCTGAGCAGAGGGACAGAGAGCAGCATGTTGGTGGCCAAGGGCTGACTTCTCAGTCTCAGTGAGCAAGGGCTGGGGCATCCCTACTGGTGGGGACCTCCAGGACCCTCTGCCTGTTCCCTAGCCCTCATCAGGAGCTCCAGGGGGCTCCTGCTGGGTCTGACCTCAGCCCCCACGTCTATGCCCCATGTCTCAGCTCCTGTCCAAATATGACCCTCAGAAGGAGCTGGAGCTGCGCAGCTGGATCGAGGAACTCACAGGCCTCTCGATAGGCCCCGACTTCCAGAAGGGCCTGAAGGACGGGGTCATCTTATGCACGTAAGTACCAGGCTCCTGACACTCTCCACCCGACCGTCCCACACACGTGACATCGAGCCGCTCTGAAGCACGCTTGCTTTTCCCTCCGTGAGACTTGCGTCGTTCTTGCTCAGCCCCATTTTTTCTTGCCCATCCAGTGGTCTAGCACAGCTCACAGGAAGCATCCTTACCTGACCCCTTCCTTTCACGGGTCAGCTTCCATCGTATCTGGAGACCCTTCCGCATCACCTCACATTTAGCTGTCGTCCAACCATTACACCTTGGAAGCCATGCTGCCTTCAATATGCTTCTGCTGATGGAAACCCCCCGGGTTCACCTCCAGATACCTGGGTTGCCCACACATCCCACCTTTGCTTATGTGGTGGAGGACAGAGGACGGTACAGGAGGGGAGAGTGAGGCCCACCTGGGAAGGCATTTGTCTGAGACCAGGATCTCTGGCTATATTAATGGAAGATCCCATTGTCCCCTGCCCCGTCTGTCTCCCCTTCCTCGCCCCCGC